ATCAAATTTCAGTTTTAACACCCAAATCCTGATTATTAAGAGCAAAGTGCGCTTAATAGAATATTTAAAGGGAGGAGGAAGCAAAACAGACCTAATCTAAAGCAATGCATATGACAAAACACCATGCACTTTTTGCACAAACTGTGTTTTAAAGCAGCTGGAGCAGATGGGTTCGTGGAGGAGGCGGAACTTCCGAACAACTGGCTCTGTGCTGCTCTCAGATCAGTTCAGTCTGAGATACACATGAACATCCAGGAGACACAGAGCCACAACCTCATGTGCTGCTGGAGTCTCTCTCTCTGTGTGTGTGTGTGTGTGTGTGTGTGATTGGGAATTGCGGATCAATGGCACAGGGACAGGACAGACACTCGGGATGATGTGAAAGAGGGGATTTAAGGGTCTTTTCCTCCTCCTGAGCGCGTGGATTCACTTCAGACTGAACTTGGAACATTAAATGCGCAACTTGATTTGATTGCTGGGGATTTTCAGCATGGCTTTCCTGTGGCTCTTTCTGTTGATCAGAGGAAAGGTGTGAACACTTGCACGCATTCAGCTGAACAGAAGCGAAGTTTCACACGTAAGTAGATTTCAATCTTGCGACTGATTTTTGCTTTACAGACAAAATGCAAAAAAAGTTTCTAATTCTTTTATAGCGAATCATATATCATGTTCCTGAAAGTCTCTGATTGCAATAACATAGAAACACGCAACACGCCACAAATGAGGTTTGAAAGGAAACAGGCTAATTATTCGTAGTCCTCCGCTTAAAATGCATTGCTGGACTGTCTGGTATCGTTTAATGATAATTGCATTATGTGCAAAGATTCCTATTTTGACGGATGTTTGTGACGCTGTTGATTCTTAATGGCGCAATTAAGTCAGAAACACATTTGTCGTTGTTAATGGCGTTATACTTTAACATTATGCATGCCAGGCGTGCTGGTTTAATCACATCAGATCCGATTTCTGTTATTCTGAACGCTGTCAGTTCATGTGTGTGTGTGTGAGTGTGTG